GAAATGAAAGCAGTTGGAGTCTGCCGTTGCGGGGGGGGGGCGATGAAGGGGTGCACAGATCCTCCACCACCACACTCTACCACCCGCCCGCGCAGGGGGCGCTAGCCCGCTGGGCGGTGGGGGTGGAGGGGAGCTGGAAAGGGGAGAGTCCTAGCGGGACGGAAATTAACAAATTCGGGGCCGAGGCCGCCGGTCAACTCCTTCCCCTTCACTGCGCCTCCCGGTTCTCCCTCCTTCCCGCCTCTGGAGGGGATAGGTGGGCTCTAGCCTCCTGCTCCTCGCCGCGTCCCATTTAATGGGCAGGTAATTTTCTCAGTGAGTGATTTCATGGAAGCCCTTCCTAATTATTCATCCCTCCGTCTGCCGGAGATGCACGCGCTTTCTGGAAAAAGATCATCCTCCAGGACCCAGGGCGCAGCCTCATTACCCGTTAAAATCGCACAAACATTCACTCTTCACCTTTTAGCAAAATGAGAAGCTGAGCGGGAGGGAAAAAAAAGGAAAGGAAACAATATAACCACCTTTTGGAGCGGAAAGGTTGTGTAGGGGTGCTCGTTTAAAAGGCTCAAGAAAAAAGAATGGGGGCGGGTGTGTGTGTGTGCAGAAATCTCTAGCCTCTTCTGGCTTGTTTTAGCCAAGATCTATGGCCCCCTGAGGAATCCCGGAGAGGGGAGGAGGAGGGGAAGGGGTGGCATCCCCTCGTTCTGTTACTCAGTTGCCTTATGACCCCTCAAAGACAAGTTTGACGTGGGATTGTGGGATGCCAGGGAGTTCAGCTGACAACGCTTAGGATGGAAAGAGGGGATCAGGGAGCTTGGGCGGTACCCGAAGTCTTTACCCTCCAGAGACTAGCACTTCTGAAAGGAAATGCGGAAAATACAGGGATTGGGGAAAGCTGAAAACCCAACTGAGCTAACAGAAGCTCAAAAACAGCCGAATCCCAGCCCAAAGATGACAAAAATCCTGAATATTAAGGCAGAACCCACCAACTGAATGCCATTCAGGACTGGGGATGATTAAGCAAGGCCAAGTTAGATCACAGGGATGCTAGTGTCTGGGGTGCCGCCGGTGTGACCGGTGTGGCCGGGCCCACGTGTGATCACAGGCTCACTGGTAGCTGTTTGATGCTTGTTCGGATGATTACAAGGAGGGTTATGAGAACTCACGCAGGTTCCGAGCCGAGCTAAAAGCTTGATGGTGAGCCTTTAGTTCCCTCTACTGGAAAATATTAGAAAAGATTCTTTTCGTTTGTGGCCTTGTGAAGCAGTTTGAAGAAGAGCCTTTGTTTGGTGGTACATTTCGGTGTTAAACCACTTAACTTAGCTCTTCCTTGCCTATTATGGACGTGATACTGCATGGTTCAAAAAAATGGTCAGTGACACTCAAGTAATTAGGAGAGTTTTTATGGCACCTCTTCATGCTTGAAAATTGTGGTAATGAAATAGTCTTGAAAAAAATAAAACATGCCACTCTTCTTGTGAAGCATTAAAAGTAATTTCAGCACACTTGTAATCTACATTATTTAGTTGTTTAAAAAAAACTGTTTTTTTCAGTGTGCTGAAGTTAAATCACTTGAATTCCCAGAGTAATGATTCTGAATGTATTATTCTTTTACCACTCTGTGGGGGAAAAAATGACTAAATTTCACATGATTTTTTCCCCCAAAGGGCCAAGTCTAACTTAAGTTATGGTGGTCATTGTAAACCCCAAATTTCATTGAATTAACATCTCTCTTGGCTATCTTTAATACTGCTGAATACTTGGTAAATCTTTAAAACTTCCATTTTAAACATTCTGACTAGGTTTAGAGTAGGGATTACAAAGTCTACTTCATTCTTCTAAATAATGTACCACCATCACCACCTCCCACTCCGAGTCTCTATCTCAGTCAGATTTCCTTACATCGGTACAATAAGAAATATTCTGAAAGGAAATGTTTCCCTAATAATAATGCAGAAATTAACAAATCATAAAGACTTAAAGCTCTTTAATTTTAAGATAGATCTCAGAAAGGGAGATATTGGAACATTTCATCTGGAAGAACTTTCTCATGGCAATTCATTTATTGATAGGCAAAAGATAGATTCGACCTCATATTTGTTAGATTCACCAGCTACAGATGCCTTTTCTTAGGTGAGCTATGCAATCAGAGGCAGAAAGCGTGGGTGTAGGATGTGTGTGGGAAACAGGGAGTTAGGTTGGAGGAGAATGACCTAGCAATTGCTGTTGTCCTCTAGGGCAGAAAAATGTTGCTTCATATCTCACAGAAAGGTGTCCTTGTATAGAGTATGACAAATGACCTCATACAGAGAAAAGGTTTATTTAATAGACATCTCTTTGGTTATATTTATTTGACATTTTGGGCCAAGCATCATCGTTTTGCATTCATGCTTTACCCACTGAAACTGACAAAGCAGACGAGTGATTTCAGTCTGGTGCCACCTTTTTGCCATATATTACCTACATTATGTGATAATGTCTATAACAAAGGAATTTGGGGGTCTATGTTTTCTGTTTGTCTTGAGGGTATGTTCATAAATGATGTTTAAGAAAGAGTACTTTGTCAGTATCTCATTCGATACAAAATGTGAGCAAGGAAAATTGATGGCTTTACATATAAGAATCTCATACCAAGTGATGTCAAGATGATGACCAGAACTCTCACACTAACAGTGACTATTAGAGTCTACAGACAGAAATGTAATATGAACAACAGTGAGTCCGAGGGGAACAAAGACACCACCTTCTGGGAGGTTTGATAAAGTCTGTATTAGAGAAAAGTTTGTATTTCAATTAAATTTAACACACTTTTAGTGAGCATTGTCTATGGAAGAAATGGATTTCTCACTCCAAGTTTTTCTAAAAAGAAAATCTTTTAAAAACCTGAACATTCTAGTAGAAGTTGGAAATCAGTTTTATCAGTGCTTTAGCTAAGAAAATTTCTTTCAGATTTTCATTAAGACAAAGCTAGAAATGGCTTAGAACAATGAACCCCTCCACCAAATCAGAAGGTTTAAGATACAGAAAATTAAATGGGTACACGTGCCTTCAATATCTTTCCGAATACTAGTTGTTTTTCCTTCTCCAAACAAGCAGCTGAATAGAGAAATCTGGAAATCTAGGCCCCTTTTATGTAAAACTTAGAATGGTATTATTATGTGCTCAAAATGTTCCTACCAGATAAATATATATTTTAATACACCTAAAGACACCTATGTGTCAGAGACTAGAATCAACCCTAATTTGGGTAAGGTGATCAAATGGCCTCTGTGACTGCACTTCTGAGTTGACATTCCTGGAGAACCACAAGATACTTACCTGAAGGCAGTCTGTACAATATATGATATAAAATATTAAATATTTCTTGTCTGTATCATATTCCCCAAGGATGTGGTATAATTTGAAAAAAAACTATTCCTTTTTTTTTAACTCTAACATACTATCATTATAGTTGCAAGGTGATATACATAGGCAAATCAACTGATTCACGATAAAAAAAAAATTAGCATCTACTACAATGTGGTGAACACTTGCTATATGTCAGGAATTGTTCAAGTTTTTAAAACTTCATTATATCACTTAAATCCTGTAAGAGCCTTATGTGGTCGATATTATTCCCATTGTAAAGGTGAGAAAACTGAAGGTTAGATATCTAACCCAAATTAATAAAAAATGTACTTTACCTTTAAATCCAGACATCTCTAGAAAATCTATGTTCCTAAGTGTTAGACTATGCTTCTCTGATCTGGATTGTTTTAAAAAACATCTTCCACATTATAGTGGAATTGCTTTGATTGATCAGTCTAACATCTAGTACACCAAAACATACAGAAATACATAATCAGTTCTTGTTTCCAAAACTGAACAATCTTTTTACAGCCAAAAGCCCATCATTGGTTATCAGTTCAGTTTGAATTTGTCTGTATAAGATTGTCTTACCACACTATACAGAAACACCACATTTAGATGAAATGTATGGGTTATTATCTACAAAAGGACACAGGACAATTAAAATAAGTGAAGCGTTAAAAATCCAGATCAGAGAAGGATGACTCATTGGCTCTTAGGTTATTTTTTATTAGGCTCCAACTTGTTTCAAGATGATTTGAGGGAGCCAAGATAAATTGCATATTGTTCTTCTGAAATATGT